TTGAATTTTCGTATGGCTAAGGCTTTAATAAACCTTAGTATACGCCCTTTTACACTTTTATACAGCACTACAAAAGCTGAATTTAGATCAATCTTGTGACCTTTATAAGCAAAGATGGCTAGTGGCTAGCAGTGGAATCCAGGACGCGCGTTTCATCCTGTTTGGGATTCGTCAGCTGGATGTACCTGCATCTCAGATTTGATGTTCACTCTGGGACCTGTTTCAATTATATGTTTAGCAATAGAGGATGATGGATGTTTATCCTCTGCTCTTATTGGGTCACTTGATTGTATTTGTTTCTGAAGCCATTTGGGTACATGTTCACTCATCCTAATGTTGAGATCACGATTACTCCTCCCTATGTATGTGTGACCACACACACATTTAAATTGGTAAATACAGTGGGATGTGATGCAATCGTTTCCATGTACTTTAGGTTTTGAATGAAGCATGCACCTTGTTCTTTCTTTGATGATGACCTTTGCTGAGCAATACGTTGTTTCATTAAAAGGCTATTTGAATCACCTCTGAACGGCAATGTGATGTAGACAGGCTTTTTCTCTACCGAGGTTACAATAGGTCTCGCTGTACCATGGACTTTCCATCTATTTATGAATTTCAGAGGATAGCCATTTCTATTAACGTTTTATTTAACAACTTAACATCATCATCATCAATGGCGTCATTGGTACAAATACGGTCGTGTCTGTTGAAAAGACATCTTATCAAACCACGTTTGTATTGCACAGGGCAATAACTATAATAACTAGGATATTGACCTGTCCACGTTGGTTTTCTAAAAACACATCGCTTGACTGAGCCATCTTCTCGTCTACTCAGAAGTATATCTAGGAAGGGAAACTGATCGTTTTTCTCCTCCTCACATGAGAGACTAATATGGTTTTGGATAGTGTTAAGTTTATTTAATAAACGGTACATATCCTCTTTTCTCTCACAAACAACTAAGATATCGTCCACATATCTCTTATAAAGTGACATGTTTTTGATTAGGTCATCAGTTAAAATTTAGGTTTTTATTTTTAAATCGGCGAAACTAATTTATGGACGAGCCAGTCACAAGAGTTTTAGAGATTTCAAGGTCACAGCACCAACTTCAGTGCTTAATGCTAACGTACGATCGGTCCACGGGGAATTTTGTACAAAACGTGATAATTGAGCGGCTATAACAAATGAAACAGCGAGACTATAATTTGTGGACGAATCAGTCAGGTATAAGATAATAGACCTCGGATTTTAACGTGTAAGCCTCTCATCCTTTGGGTTAAATAAACTCCTGACATTATAGCTGATGTCAGTTCGTGATGAAAACTGCATATATAATTCCTAACTAAGGCAAATTATGATAATTATTGCGAACTGGATAATAAAAGCACCAGTAACACTGGCTGCAGCCAGGTACTGCAATATATATGGATGTTTGGAGAGCGTACAGACTGCTACACAGGCTTGGTTATGTGCATCGTATCGTTATCCACAAGTAGCACTTTGTGCATTCAACAGCCGAAGTACACATAAACAACATTGGATCTATGTAGTCGAGGTTGAAAGAGTTTTTGAGACTTTATCATGACTCCAGATGTCGACTATTCTATAGCCATACGGATGATCTCCTCTACTGCATGCATTACGATTTTAGAACCTCTGAACCGCTTTCTAACCTTGACAAGTTTTTGAACCACGTATAAGAAGTGTATCCATTTTATTTCCTTGGTTTTATATAATATATTTTTTACTCTATACTGACTGTTTGCTGATTGACTAATATTTCTCAAAGTCACTTAAGATTCTTTCAAAAGTCGTCCATAAATCCGAGTCTCGCCGATCTAACTTCCATTGTGTTGAAAATAATGAAATAGCAAACACAGGCACACCTTCCCATTACTATACCTTCACTATGCTTTGTAATATTCCTTTAATAATATTTAATATCCAAATCTTTGTTTTAGTGTTGACTTTCCTTCAAAGTTTCAGATATAATGAACTAAATAATATGCAACTAACACATTCCCCAGCTCTTAAATAGCCATCTACTTAAAAATTTGCAATGCTTCTTAATTGGTACTTATGGAACATGGCTAATAAGTAAAGTATCATCGTTAACTTCCTCTATGTATATAAATAAACTATTTCACTCATTCTTCTTAAATACTAGTGGCGAAATATCACAGGGTACAGTTAAAAAAGACTTTGGTTGGATAAACAATGTGACGATTCTATGCATTTATCATACGATATAACTAGGAATTATATATGTATGGCAGTGAAACATAGCCGCTAAGAGTAGAGGATATTCGTAGGTTACTGGTATTTGGTCAGAGGTGTCTTCGAAATATTGCTCGTATATCATGGGACCATCGAGTAAGTAATGCAGTTGTTAGGAAACGGGTACTAGGTAAGGATTGCAAATCAACTGATGACGTAGTGAAACTTCATCAGTTGAGATGGCTGGGACACGTGTTACGTATGCCCAACCACCGACTGCCCCGACGTGCGGTGTTTTCTGGTGTAGGATTAAGTTGGAAGAAAGCTAGGGGCGGCCAGACCAAAACATGGCACAAATCCATGAAGTCACTGACAAGTGAACTGAATCCTGTTGGTAGGTGTAGACTACCTGGTTGGGGACCACGAGATGATAGCAACCGATGGTTAGAGACCCTGAATGACATGGCTCAAAATCGTTTGCAATGGCGCAGGCGCATACTCTCTTTGTGTTCTCCCAAACTATAATCTCCTGAATCCCCCTTGTCTCTTTTGTTCTCTTTCCAAATTTATTTCACTGCGTTATACTTCCTGAATGACATCTTCAAAGCTTAATTTTTCTGATTACAGCTTATAATTTCACTACATCTAGCACTACGGGATTTGAATCGACCACTGCATCTCTGTGCTAATGTGGTGTAGCAACTCGAACTGATGTATGAACGTACGAAGTTCTACGTTGTTACTGACTGACTGACTGACTGAAGAATTATATAGATTCATTTTATATTGTTTGTTTGAATCTTCCGATTGATCAGTCTGTTATTGGGATATGTGCATTCTGTGTTTAATGACTCGGTATTACCTCAAGTCACAAGGATTATATGCAAAGATAAATGGTAGCTAGTAGTAGAATCCACGACACGAGTTTCGGCCTACATATATAATACAAACCGGAGTGATGTACACATTAAGCTTCAAGATAACCATTAATGACTTTGTATCTGTTATGCCCTCAATTATCTTGCCTCTCCAGAACAACTAATTAAAATAGGAATACAAAAGAAATTCACAAGTTGCAAACCAACGACTGGTTGCTGACCTCTTCATCGACTTATCAAATTATATATCACTGTCATGACATAACTCCTTCTGATGATGTATTCAAGAGAAGTTTGTATAAACTCTATGATCCCATCATCTAGTATTAACTCAAGTATTCCACTTTTTATATTCATCAAACGAAACTGACAATATACTAATAGTCAGTAAATTAACATCAGTTCCTTATGAAACCATTTCACGTCGTTTATTTCTTTAAAGAACAAACTGTAAATGTCAACTATTCACTATCAATGATTAATAGTGCAAAATACTCATTTTGGAAGTGAAGTTTATTTTTATACCTCCCACCTTTTACCAATATATATGTGACTACTGATATTCAGTTTTTGATGAAATGATTAAACTCTAACATCCATAGCAACATGATGTGGCCTACCCTAGATAATAATGTTTACTATGTAATATGCTTGATTAGTCAATGAGAAACTGTGATTACGCAACCATATTTATTTATTTGTTTATTTGAACACAAATATTGGTACAAAGGGGCACCGAATACCTATACAAAACACAAATCGCTTGATTTGTGTGTAGGCTGTGATACTACCCGGATACCCAGACCGAAGCAAGTGGTCTTCATGGGAGGTCACACCCGAGGTCTTCGACCTAAAGGTCTAATCCACAAGGCAGTTGAACAATGTAAAGAAATGCAGTACTATGGTAGCCGATGACCAACAAGAGGTTCATACGCCATTTTTCCCCCAGGTTTCTGGAGCCCATGTGTAGTATTTGGTTTGAAATCAGGTTCTTCCAACTCCCCTAGATGGATCCTGAATATTCACCAATCCTATTAAACTGCCCGATATTCACTTTTCATTTTCTCAATTTCTTAAACATTAGCCCCATCACGAGAAAGCAATGAATAGGATTTCCTTGTCAGTGACCGTATACATCTGATCATCTGGGAGAACTTGGAAAGGGAGAGCAGACTCTTCCCACTCTCAACCATACCAGGACATTTAGCGGCAACCATATCTAACTATGAACTATAACAATACTACAATAATTATTATAATATACCTGTTATATCCGAGCGAAGATTAAATCACGAGTAACTTCTGAGACCTATTAATGGACTAATATTATCTATACATTCTTATGGTATAACTATTCAATGATTAGATTATGTATATTTATATTCCCCTTATTATAAGCTTTATTTTGACCTATAGATTATTATGATACGATTTACTGTTCCTAAGTTATACTCAGTTTATTGACTACTGTCTCCCACGTTCACAGCCACTTTTTGGCTTTATTGTGTATGAATGTTATTTCCTAGTTTATGGTGCGTTGCGGTCTGTTTGGGTGACATATAAACCCAGTATGTCTGAAATAAATTATTCGATTCGATTCATATTGCAGGAGCTGGTATTTGATGTTCTGGACTCAAGTGGACGTGGGAAGCGGATCTAGGACCATTAAGGACACTAGGCTGCTCATACCAGTTAAACGTCATTGGTTTGGCATAGTGCCAAGATTGTATAAGTTGTATTTTGATTGATGGATAAATCATGTGATAAGTAGCCAAACACAAAAGTCATAACAATACCATTTTTATTCATGAATAAAACAGACAGTGATAGGATGATTGTGTATTACAATTGAGTAGAATATAACTAAGTTAGTGACTAAATAAATAATCTTCGCTTTCATCATTTCTTAATCATATGTCCATTAGATTCTGGTGGATATTTATTAATATCATATTGTGTTAAACGTTCAATGACATGATGAATTTCTTCTTTAGTTAATTTCTTCATTATTGGTCTAATTTGACTTTCTAATGAACAACCATAATCATAACGATTAAAACCAAGATATTTTCTAGCTAATGTTGATTCTATAGGAAGTTTAGATAGATTATCACTTGTTAAATGTTCAATGATTTCTTGTAATTTATTGGCGTTACATTTCATATATGAAATAGGATTTGTAAAAGAGTTAGTACTTGGATGGTTTGGTAATTTCTCATTAGTTAATCTTTCAATTAGATTATCTATCTAATAAACAAAAGAATAGACTGGTAGATAGATATTATTAGAGATGAAAAATACCACCATATCAATCGGAGGGGAGGGTCTAACATTAATCGGTTCATGATCTCAATCAAAAACTTAATCATCTCCACAACCTTTTGCTAGAGTTGAAGCTATCATCAGTTCACTTAATCTGGGAACGAGAAAAAGACTCGGTGACCAAAGACCAGTAAGCTAGTTCACTTGATCTGCCAACGAGAACAAAGACTCAGTAACCAAGACCAGTAGGGTAGTTATTGATGCGTCTCAGACTCGCTAACTAGAGGGAGAAGTCCAAGCTTGAAATGGTGAAGTATATTCTGCAAAACAGCCAGAAACGAGCCATCACAACAAACACAATTCCAAAAGTATATATATACAGTACAAAACCGTCCTTGGGAAGAGTTACCAATTAACATACTAAAAGACGCAACGGGCCAATAGCATTTAAGATATTTCCCAATGGGAAATACGACATGAAGGTGACAAGAGCGCTTTTGGCGCGAAAACAAAGAAGTTCGAATATTCTAAATAAAATTACAAAATTAGGTCCTTTTTCAAGTGAGTTCTGGGGATCTAACGTCCCCAATACCCCCCATACCGATAACATTGATTACTGTTTGTCTAATTTGTGAATAAACCAATCAGATTTAGAATATCAGGTATTGGAATTTGAAGCGAACTTCATTCACTTATTTGTCTAAATAAAGTTTTAGCATTTTAGCTTATATCAGTTTGTGATTAAAAAAAACCATAACATGGTAGAGAAGATTTATAGCTCAGGTGGATGATTTTGATGGAGTTTTTTGTCTCTAAACTAGATGGTTTAACCGTGAAGCTTTCATCGTTCTTCTGAACGAAATCATCAGCATAAACTTTGGATAGAAGTGAAGTGTTCGAATTTCTCCACATGTGGTTCACAACGTGTCCTGTAGATCTCAATGCTGATTGATTGTTGTTGATCATGTTTAAAGTCGATTATTTCATTACAAATTAATAAGTTAATCATAGTTAAAGTATAGCATAGTGTAACTCTATGTCAATCTAAGATACCATATTACAAAAAGAGTGAAATAAGCTGAAATTCGTAAAATCAATAGTAAGTTTATTGAACTAATACTAATATCAATGATAATCAGAAAGATTAGACATTGTTAGAACATTGTTCAAATTCAATGAAAATATTAACCGATTTCAAAGGAGAGTTTAGGTTGTTATATCTCGATGAGAATATTGAATGGTAACTGTAAGGATCCATTTGTGCACTAACACTATACATATATTCGATACTACGGCGTGCCTCAGAAGATAGTCAATATCATAAGGAATTCCTGTTATGGATTAAACTGTAAAATCGTGCATGGGCAACAGTTGACAAACTTGTTCGGAGTAAAGACCGGTGTCAGGCAAGGTTGTTTACTCTCACACTTTCTCTTCCTCCTGGTGATCGACTGGATCATAAAGATATCAACATCTGGGGGCGACCACGGGATACAGTAGACAGCTAGAATGCAGCTGGACGATCTAAAGTTCGCAGATGATCTGGCCCTTCTATCCCAAACGCGACAACAAATACAGGAGAAAACGACCAGTGTATCAGCAGTCCCAGTAGCAGTAGGTCTCAACATACACAAAAAGAAAAACAAGATTCTCCCATACAACACAGAATGCACCAATCCAATCACAATTGACGGAGAAGATTTGGAAGATGTAGAAGCCTTCACATATCTGGGCAGCATCATTGATGAACACGGTGGATATGATGCAAATGTGAAGGCGAGGATCAGAAAATTAAGAGAAGCATATTTACAATTGAATAACATCTGGAAATCAAAACAACTATTAACCACAACTAAGGTCAGAATTTTCAATACAAATGTGAAGACAGTTCTACTGTATGGGGCAGAAACCTGGAGAACTACGAAAGCCATCTTCCAGAAAATACAGGTGTTTATTAACAGTCATTCACGCAAAATACTTCGGATCCATTGTTCAGACACTATTAGCAACAACCAACTGTGGGAAAGAACAAACCAGATTGTAATGGAGGAAGAAATCAGGAAGAAGTGCTGGAAGTGGATAGGACACACATTGAGGAAAGTACCCAAGTACGTCACAAGACAAGCCCTCACATGGAATCCTCAAGGCCAAATGAGGCGAAGAGGAAGACCAAAGAACACAATGCACCGGGAAATGGAGAACAAGAATTGGATAGAACTAGAAAAGAAGGCCGAGGACAGAGTGGATTGGAGAATGCTGGTCGGTGGCCTATGCTCCATTAGGATTAACAGGCGTAAGTAAGTAAGTAAGTAAACGATCCTAACAGACAGCATTACAGAGTCTTAGGTTTATTTATATGGAGAAAAGAAAACCTAATGGTTATTGAGAAGATTCTAAATAATAACCATAAGACAACCATTTACATTAACTAAATCTAAAATCTGATCAACAATAAGGTTCTAGCTCAAATTCTTTGATTAGATAACTCCCTCCCTCAAGCTCAAAATTATGAACCACCCTAAAAAATTCTCCTCCCTCCCCCCGCAATTCTGTTTTAGTATTATTTCTGCATTACAGAAAAAGAAAATAATATTCCCAATGATCTTACCTCTGTTCTAGTTAAATGTTTAAATACTTGATTTGTATATTTTCTATGTGGATATTCATATCTTCCATAACCTAAATAGATTTTTGCATTATTTGATTCAGGCGGTCCAATTGTTTTATCATATTTTGTTAAACGTTCAATAATTTTATTAATTTCTTTTTGGGATAATTTTGGCTTATTTGATAATGATAATGATGATGATGATGATGATTGAAGAGAATCATAAGACTTTTGTGATACTTTGATAGAGTTGTTCATTGTACTGGGTCGATGAGAAACATTTGATGAATATTCTTTCTAAATTATGAAAATGAATATTGATAATCTACTAATATTTAATATGTAGAAATGTTGGAAATCGACCTATTGTGGAACTCCCGAGCCGTGCGCTAGCTGCTGGGGGTCCCGCGGCAGGGCCGGGGTTTCCGTCCAGTGGTTCCGGGTTTCCCACGGTCGTCTAGCCTCAATTGGTCCGTGATCTCAACTGTTGGGACTATACTTTACGGTTAAATTCAATCCTTTAGTTTCGTAGTAAAGTACTTACCATATCATAGAGAGATAAAGTTATGATTACTTATTTACGCCTGTTACTACTCGTGGAGGAGCATAGGCCGAACACAAGCATTCTTCATCCAACACTGTTCTGAGCAAACTTTTCCAGTTGTTTCCAGTCGTTATTCATCCTTTTCATATCTGCTTCTATTTCCCGACGTAATGTGTTCTTTGGCCTTCCACTTTTCCGCTTCCCTACAGGATTCAAAGTTAGAGCTTGCCTCGTGATGCAGTTTGATGATTTCCTTTATCTATGCCCTATTCACTTCCAACATCGTTTTCTAATTTCATCTTCAGCTGAAATCTGGTTTGTTCTCTCCCACACAATGCTGTTGCTGGTGATATCCGGCCAATGGATGTTGAGTATCTTGCGTAGACAACTATTTATAAATACTTGTACTTTCTTGATAATTGTTGTGGTAGTTCACGAAGTTCCAGCTCTGAATAGTAGAAGTGTCTTGACGTTCTTACTGAAGATTTTGACTTTGATATTGGTTGACAGACATTTGTTTTGAGTTCCATATATTCTTCAATTGTAGGGATGCTGTCATTGCTTTGGCGATCCTCGCCTTTATGTCTGCATCCGATCCTCCTTGTTCATCGACTATGCTTCCCAGGTACATGTAACTTCCCTATTGAACAAATTCTAAAAACAACTGTATGCGGATTGTATGACTATAATGATGATTTCGCTTTTACTAAAAACCATAAATACCTGAGAGTTTTATACCATACTTAATACTGTTTGGGTTTTGGTATAGCATTCCTTCTTACTTGTCTTCTCTCTTCTTTTTTGTGACTTGGAGTGTTCTAGTGTTCGAGTTCTCAAGTTGTACGCGGTATATCAAGGATCTAAGCTTTAGATATAACAGGCAGTTTATGAGTCATCGATAACAGTGAAATAGATTGCATAAATAAACATAATAAGTAGAAGGTACAAATTGATTATGCGATGACAAAGGAATGAAAAACTTGACAAAGGAATAATTTTTTATGGGAATAATAAAGGCTCGAATCCATGTTACATAATGGGAATTAGGTTAGTGTTTTGAAAAAGTATAGATGCCGAAATAACCTTCATAAAAACTATAAGATTATGTAATAAGAAGCGTTCAGATAATTGGACAACGAAGCATATATTTGGGAAAAATAGATGGGAGGGCGTAAAGAAAACAGAGTATGGAAAATAATAATTTAAAAAATCATTTATTAAGGTCAAGGAAGAGATAAAGTTGTTGAAAATCTCTTATGAATACGAAGACTTAGACTGTTGGCTTGAATTCCTATAGCTTCTGCAATGTGTAAGACACGAGATCGAACCGCATGTGGTAAACTAGTAGAAATACAATAGGTTACTTTAAATGAACTATTTCTGTCTAATACATGACCGCTATCGATCAAGCGTGATAGGACAGATCTGCGTATTGTCTTGACGGTACCCTTTCCTAACCATTAACGGAGGTGTTCACTAACTTGTTAGCTCAGCTGTCTGGCAGTGCGCCCAATCTAGTTTTCTGCACAGGAGTGGTTGAATTAGTAGATATTCATCGATGTGGAAGTACCAGGCAACTTATCCTTTAGTTGATAAATCGCAATAGATCAGGCCGAGATAGTTAGAAAGAGGTTATCTGCATGAGACTTCCTCTCCACTGCTCTAGTCAGTCTATCCTGTAGCACATACAAGCTATAGCTCCGTTGAATTGCAGCTTCAGGAAGAGGTTTCTTACTAGTCACTGATGTAACTACTTTCCTGTTTGTTATATGCAAGTGTCTCTTCAGGTTATTGTTCGTAAAATCTTGATTGATTGGCTGCCTGTAACGAATTTGATTCGTGTCATAGGTGATTTCAATTATGTACCATGTCACAAAAATTGACTGAATGAATTAAATGTTTTTCACTTAGTTCTTCGTATCACCTGTTTTTTTTCGTTAACGGAATATTTTACTTACTAAAATTAAGTAGTTTGAGTTATATTTAACAATTTCCTCAGTGATGTAGATAGGCGTTATTTATCTTTTGTAGTTTTGAGCTACCATTTTACTTACCATATTTTATTCTACAAATTTGATCCTTCTATCTGTAAAATAATCTCTAATATTTGATCATTCCCGGAAAAATTAATGCTAACATAACTTTGGTATATTTACGCATAATCTTGTTGATTTCATACGGAAGAGCTGAAGTTATAAAACAATTGATATAATGTATGTTTGTCACAGCCTCCTTCTTGATCATTTGAACATGTAGGAATAAATATCTGTATCTATATCCATATATATATATATATATATATATATATATATATATATATATATATATATATATATATATATATATATATATATATATTTACATGTCAGTCAAGCAGTTAGGAACTCACAACGAAGAATCTGTATGTATGTACATCGGTTCAATTTTCCATACCCCATTAGCAGATGTAAATATACATGAAGGAGTTTTGAACATGGATGAAGCCCTCAACGAGACAGAGCACCTTCTCTTAAAAATGAAAACTCTGAATAGGACAAACCTGAAATATCTATTTAAAAGAAAAGAGTTTCATGAAATATTAACAATGAGCAATTATGAAAAATATTTCTTCTGGTAACTGAGAAAGAAATAATATTACCTTCATTAAACATTTACATTTTTCTGGTTAGCGTTTTTTTAGCGAGTTAGTTTTCCACGGAATGGGGACGTTAACCCCATGCCCAACCCTTGTCCTTTATCCGGGCTTGGGACAGGCAGTTGCCCTCAAAGGGACTCCAGATGGAGTACCAACAGACCGAAGAAAGGAGTAACAGGCGTAAGTAAGTAAGTAAGTAAGTAACACTTACATTTGTTTATATTATGTGTTTAAGACATTCTCAGCTAATGTTCGATATGTAACCAATACTATGAAGAACCTTCATCCAAGTAAACAAACAACATGTTCGCTGAAATGAAGGCTAGTGGAAGTACCCGCAATTCCACAAAAAAAAGTTTTTTATTTGAGTCAGCTAATACAATTTAATTATCAATCATAAATATATGGAACATTAACAACAACAAAAAACTATGCAAACAGTGACAGTAAGCACAAAAAAATCAATTAAATTAACACCAGTTACATCATACTGATATGTGTTGTGTTGATTGTGACCACCAAATTGACACCATACAAATTTGAAAACTTCTCATATATTACTTGATAATTATTGGAGTAATCATTTTAATTCAAAGATGATTTTCGTCGTGATTTTCACATCACTTAAGGTATTACAAAACAACCAAAATGTAAAGATGAGTTCAGGTCGTTCATAAGGGACCGTGGGTGCGCACCGTTAAGGAGTTTGATACTAGGATCAAACTGACATCCAGTGCATCCAGATCTTCAACCATGGTTTAACATTGATCGGTTCATGATCTCACCTAAAACTCAACAATCTCCACAAACCCTATACTAATCAAGATATAATATTTGTTTCGTTAGTGAATTACCACGAGAGGGTTTCCTTCACTTTAAATGATAAGTTGTAATTGATGGACTTATCTCATGTGCCGAGTGAGAAAACCGTCTTTGATGGTATTTGATGTCTATCAATTCATATCATGAGTTAGTTAAGGTTAAAATATTGACCGTAAGGTTCTAATTTAGTGGTCTAAAGATTAACCGCAACTCCCAGTGATCCAAGGTCTATTATTTCTTAGGATTATAGCTATTAACTGATTACAAATTTCATACTAGTAAGAAACACCTTTAATTGTGACATTTGGCATTAAATCAATTATCTATATAGTATCAACTGAAGATGAATATCAGTCAGTCAGTCAGCTACAACGTAGGACCAGGCACATATATGCATCGGTCCAAATTGCCATACCTCATTAACACAAGAAGATGAACACCGGATTCATAGAAGTAGTCACTTCAATGGTGGTAATATATAGAAGAAAGATTGTATATAAGCATATAGTATAAGAAGAAAGAATTAGTTCGTAGAAAGAAAGATATGAAGTGATTTTAATCTCTTAGTTTAAGGGAAAACAGGGAGCGTATACACTTACGCTATTGTGATCGATTCTGAGCCATGTCACCAAAAGTCTCCAACCATTGGTTACTATAGTCACGCGGACCCTCACCAAGTAGTCTGCATCTCCCAACATGGTTCAGACTATGAATTAGTGATTTCAAGCACTGATGCCACGTTTTGGTTTGACCGCTTAATTATAATCTTGAATCGATACAAATAGTTAGACTCATTGAACAACAACAATCCTATCATCATGTATGTTTATAGTTTAGAACAGTTTACTTTTAAAAGTATATTTTAGCAATAAACTCGCCTAACTCTTAGCTGTTTTATTAACTTGTACTTATACTTGAAACAGTATTTATCTGATTATTTCAGTTACTCAATCATATGATCAATGAATCTTTCATATACGATGCTTATTTTAATAAGTAATAGGAGAAAGTACAAATTTAAACAACTTGTCACATGAATTGCACAACTATATTAACATAAACAATATTCAAGTATTCAATGGTAACAAAATGAATTTAATGAAGTAATTTTCATATTCATTGTATTTCATATGAGAGGGAAAGAAAGAGAAAGATAGAATAAGCTGGGGAATGTATATAGAACAATGTAGTGTGAAGTGAATAACCTCACCTGGAGTCCCTCCGGGGGCTACTGCCAGTCCCAAGCCCGGATATAGGAGGAAGGTTGGGCATGGGGTTAGCGACACCATCCCGTAG